TTTAAGAAAGCTTGATCATTTTGAACCAGAAATTAGGACTGCTGCTGCATGGGTTCTTGGCAAAGCCAGTCAAAATAACCCAGTTGTTCAGAAGCAGGTATTGCGATAGACATGTGTTTTTACAAGTTCACAATATACAAAGTCGGTCTTTGGTGCATCAATTTCTTCGTGGCTGCCATCTGTGCATTTTCTGTATTTATATTCGAAATTTATTGGCTATTGGATTAATACCATGTCATAACTTTTGCATTCAGGTCCTGGAGCTTGGGGCATTGCCAATGCTGATGAAGATGATGAAATCTCACTCCACTGAAGAAGCAATAAAAGCCCTTTTTGCTGTTTCAGCACTAATCAGAAATAATTTGATTGGCCAAGATATGTTTTATCAGGAAGCTGGACATGCAATGCTTCAGGTGATCCAAGTGAAGATTGTGTCAAGCCATCATGCAAAACTAGTCTAGTGCTGGCAGCCCATAATTATCTTTCTCTTTGTATGCAGGAGGTTCTTAGCAATTCAAAGCTGGATATCAGGTTGCATAAGAAATCACTGTTTCTTATTGCTGATTTGGCCGATGGTCAACTGGAGAATGAGAATACCGCGGCGGTACCCTTTTTCAGCAACCGGTTGTTACTGAAAGCCGTGGTTGATTCAATGGCGTCGAGTGATCTTGATCTCCAGGAAAAGGTTTGTGTAGTCTTTGATGTGAATGAGCATTAACTTCAAAAAGACCATATTTGTATAAACTTCAAAACACCCCTTAGGTTTCATATATTAGAGATGATCCTCACCCTCAACAATTTTGGCCTGACCTTTGTGAAGAGCAAGTGTTCTTGGTCTTTTTTTTTTTGTAATCCAAGGTTGCATCCATCATCACTACGTGGGACCTTATGCTTTATCTGAACTAAATCACCTACCTTCAATTTTGGCAAATGGCTATATCAGACTGTTGTACTACGGTTTGATGGTGGAGTGTTGGTTAGATGGGAGAAGTAATCAGTATAGTGATTCCATCTCTAGGGTTGTTTTCATCGGAATCATTCTTTTGGTTTTAATTCTTCTTTCGGTCGGTTCAGGTTTGATTTTGGGTCAAAGTCTAGTGGGATGATAGCGGGGTCACTTCCGAAGAGGAAATTCACTGAGAGAAATTTTTTGAGAAGGAAGTCATTGTGATAGAAATTCAACTGCAATTTTTTTCGTAGGAAAAGTTTGGGTGGGTTATGCAGAGACTTACCTGAGGTAAACTGTAGTTGAAACAATGACTTGTCCAATGGGGCTCCTCATTTTCATCTTTACAAACAACAACAACAATCCAGTATAATCCCATTAGTGGGGTCTGGGGAGGGTAGTATGTACGCAGACCTTACCCCTACCCTGGGGTAGAGAGGCTGTTTCCAAATAGACCCTCGGCATTCTTACCTCCAAGAACTCCCCACCTTGCTCTTGGGGTGACTCGAACTCACAACCTCTTGGTTGGAAGTGGAGGCTGCTTACCATCATTTTCATCTTTACAAACAACAACAACAATCCAGTATAATCCCATTAGTGGGGTCTGGGGAGGGTAGTATGTACGCAGACCTTACCCCTACCCTGGGGTAGAGAGGCTGTTTCCAAATAGACCCTCGGCATTCTTACCTCCAAGAACTCCCCACCTTGCTCTTGGGGTGACTCGAACTCACAACCTCTTGGTTGGAAGTGGAGGCTGCTTACCATCATTTTCATCTTTAATGGTGGAAATATACTTGTATTTTGCTGAAGGGTTCGGAGTAGAATAGACAGAAATCATCTGTTCATGTTTTGACTTGGTTAGGCAGGTCTTTCAAACAACATATCTTTATGTAGATATACAACCTAATTGGGTGTTCGTGCATATAAAAACTTGTTTTTATTTAAACCATTCTGCTTTCATTTCATTTTCATCCTTGATACCTTATATATGGTCTCTGTGACACAAAATAGAGCCAAGAGTGTTGGGTGACATCTTTACGAAGTATGCAAGACGTTTGACATATAATCTATGTCTGGCTGCAGGCCCTTTATGCAATTAAAAACATACTACTACTTAGATCGACTGAAATTCAAGTTTTCAAGGACTTCTGTAAATTGAATGAGGCACTTGAAAGGACGAGGCAACAGTTGCAGCAGTTTATGGTAGAAGATGACCTTAGAGAATATGCAACGGATTTGGAAGGTCTTCGCAAAGAAGTTGAGCTAACTTTCCTTCAAAAGCTGGATAAGGTGAGCAAAAATAAATTTACACTTATTTTCATTTGTACTTTGAATCATTGCTAAAATGAGAATTGGCAGGTTACACAAGCTGCGAGATGATGATGGGTTCTCATGGCAGTTTCTGGCTTGATCTGGGTTTTGAATTGTATGTTATTGTGTTCTGGCTCGGTATGACATCTTCATGACACACCATTGGTTTAGCAGGACAGGAAATTCTCACATGCAATTTTAGTATTACATAGGACTAACTGTTGAGTACATAGATCTGGATTTCGTTAATGGCGCATTATATTGAATTTAAGTGTTATGAAAGCAGTTTTGGCGTATCATGAAACGCGGAGCAACTGAGAGTAACAATTCTACAGTTAACTGACACAATTGGTTGTTTCATTTGTCTGATGTAATTAACAAGAGTTTCTGATTGATATGAACTATCGGAAATGGTCTCTCTACCTTCCCAGGGTCTACGTTCCCTAGACTCGACTTGTGGAATTTCACCAGTTGTTATTGTTCTTGCTGATGATGATGAACTAGTATTGGAATGAAATGGATCCGAATACTGAAATTACTAGATACTTGACCCTGCTATCTAGCACCCACCTACCACCCTTTTTAATAATTTAGCTAAAGCTTCTTTTTCCTATTTTTCTCCCTTGTATTTCCTATTTGCTTATGCATTTTCTTCTCAACTTGGGAGGGCACCATGCATATTGGATTAGATTTGAGATTTGTTTATCCCATGTTTGATTGGGATAAAATAGCGGTATAACTAATCTTGGGATTAGTTATCCCAGTGTTATTTTTATCCTTATGGGAGGATGGGATAATAATCCCAAAATTCCGGGATAACTTGTTTCCAACCAAACGACCACTAAGGAATTGTTGTATTTCAATAGACAATAGTACCATAATCCAATATGTATGGTGCCCTCCAAAAAAAACTTGCTCCTTATGCAAGGAACAAATGCACATTGAGTTCTCAATATAGTATGATAACTACTAGTACAATTTAATTTTAAATAAGTTAGGATCAACTATATGAATTTTTGCTGATACTATTTTCTATTTATATTCATCTCAAACCAACATTATACAAGCTCGAGTAAAGGTGGATAGTTATAGCTTATTGACGACCAACATAAAGCTAGTCAATTGTTAATGAATCTCCAAAATAATGTTAAAAAAATATAAAAGTTCACTATCTTTCCAGGAATTAATTGTTAAACATGATTCCTTTATGTACAATTATAAATAATATGTCAATTTCTAGATATTCAATGGAACAATAGCTAGAAATAACTACTACTACCCAAACAGGAAAATTGAGTGTTCACTCCAATAAGGACCATGGTCCCCTCACCATTAACAATGCCTCCAAAAGGTCTTTAATTTTTGTATATGTGTCTATAAATTAAAACACGTGAACCTTTAAATGTTGATTTTATTTAAATATTTATAATGGCTCCACCCTTTACCATTCACGTGGTAGGTTCGAACTTCCATTGCTTTCTTCCTTTCCCTCACCTACTCTTATGCCTCGTTCCCAAAGGTTTTTAAAGAAAATAAAATTAATATAAATTGTAGTGAATTTTTTTGTTAATACTCAAAAAATAGTTTAAGTTATATAGATCAGATCGTCAATATAAGTTTCTTTACACTATTAGATCATTTCTACTGTATGTAACACGTCATCATCGAAAAATCCTCCAGGACTAGTGCACAAGTTTAAACTTAATAAATAATAGATCCGTTCCTTTAACATTTTTCACTTAAATACTTGTTTTTTATTTTTATATTTGTAATATTGTTCAAACATGTAATGTGCGTCTAACCTACAAATCATGTGCTTTGCGCATAAATGGTCGTGATTATTATGATTATATATATTTTTATGATAACCAAACACAACAACAATAATAATATAAAAAGTAATTTAAAGTTATATATGCTTATATTGTAAAAGTAATATTAATAACTATAAATAGTTTAAGTTATATACTCTGCAGTGTTATATAATAATAATATAAAAAATAATTTAAGTTATATAGACGACAACAACAACAACAATAATAAACTCATTATAATTCTAAAGTGGAGTTTGAAAAGGATAATGTGTAAGTAGTCATACCCCTACCTTGTAAAAGTATAGTATAGAGGCTATTTCTGAAAGATCCTGCCTGTGTAAGTAGTTCACATAGATCGATCGTAGGCCTGCCTGTGCCTTCAGGTAAGAAAGGTCTGTGTCAACAAGCAATGACTTTTTTAGAACAGGTCCGAGTCAAATAACAATGATATATTACCAACAATAGCTGGATAACAAGAAAATTAAAGCAAAAGAAACAACTGGTAATAATATAGGTCTAGGTGTATAAAAATATGAGAATAATATTGATCCTACGGGTAATAGAAAGATACACTCGCGACAACCTACTAGCCTTCTACCATAATTCTCGATCTCCACACATTCCTATCAAAGGTCATGTTATCAGTAAGATGAAGATGTGTCATATCTTGCCTTATCACTTCTCTCCGATACTTATTAGGGCTACCGCTATCACTCCTCAAACTCACCATGGCCAATCTCTCACGCATTCTCACTGGAGCATCTATGCATCTCCTTTTTACATGTCCGAACCATCTCAGTCTCGCTTCAAAACTACTTCAAAAATTATTTTTTAAGTTTTAATCAAATTTATGTCCAAACGCTAGCTTAAAACAAGTGAAGCATGAGAATTAACTAATTAAGATCCAAACACGACTTTAAGAAGTCTTCGAAATCCCACATACTCATCGACTCACACAACTTTGAACACGTTTACTTTTCCTCGACGGAAAAAAAGGAACTCAAAATGCTCGCGCATTGCACAAAGTCCACCTTCCCGCCGGCGGAATCTTACCTAACAACTCCGCGGTTCTCAAATCCACGGCGGAGACCGGCGTCGGAACTTCATTTTGGCTCGCTCAATAATTTTCCTACTAGAGTGTCGAAAGTGCAAGTCAAGGCTTTGGACCGTAACAACAACAACAACACCGGTGACGGCGGCGCTAGTAAGAACGCCGTTTCATCGTCTTCGAATACGAACTACGTTGTGCCGTTAGACAAGTCGTCATCCTCTTGCATTACTCGTCCTTTAGCTGAGATCTTACGTGACCTCAACAAGAGAATCGCTGATAATATCATTAAAGCTAATGATGGTGATGATAATTCCACCTTTATCCCCTGGTAGTAATCACATTTCTCTCTATTTTATGAGTATTTTTTTTTAGTTTTGATTGCTGATTTTTGCGAACACGTTTTTAGATATGTTTTTGGTTTAAGAAATTGTGATTTACCGGATGTTTATATACAGTAGTTTTTAAAATGGGTTTTAAGTTATGTACACCAGTAAGAAATTTTTACTGCATCAGATCACATTTTTTATAACCGTGGGCCAGCTTGCACGTAGCTCGCGTAGTGACGTAAAATTTAAAAGAAGTGAAAAATATTCGCTGACAAAGGATGTTCAATATGTTATATACCTCTAGAACCTAATATTTTACCTAAATACAGAGTGTAATTTTTGATCAAGGGTGGTCAATTTAAGACATGTAGCTTCGCCCCTGAGCTCCAGGTACCTGCTACCTCCCACTAGTATAGGTACCTGCTACCTCCCACTAGTATAGGTACCGGATAACTCTATCCTCGACAGACAGAAAGAAATCACCTTATGATTTTGGTTCTCTATCCACTTCATTTAAAAAATACTTTACATAGAGAGTATATATAACTTACATTCTTTTTAAATATGTACTCCATCCATCCCAATTTATGGGGATTGTTTGATTAAACTCGAAGGTTAAGAAACACACTTCTGAAACTTGTAGTTTTAAACAAGCCAGAGACATTTGTGTGTCTATAAATCAATGTCATTGAGGATAATTGAAAGCTTAAAGTTAAATTATTTCTAAATATAAAAAGGTGTCATTCTACTAATTGAAAATGAATGTCATGTAAATTGGGACAGAGGGAGTAATTGCTTAAAGATTAAGAATTGACACGAATCTTGTCAGTCTTTTCTGAACGGAGGAAAGGAGTATTTAGTTTAAGCCTGTGTTAGTGATTAGTCAGCTGCCATGATTTCGTTTGTTTATCTGATAATGATGAACATGTTATTCTTTAGGTACCACGCGAACCGGATGTTGAGCTTCTATGCTCCAGGTGCGGTAGCATTTTTATTTAATTCTTTTATTGTTATATTGTTGTTGTTGTTATTTTTGTTATTGCATATAATTTATGGTTGTCTTATTAGTTGTATCATCATCAGTGAAATAGGATGGAGAAAGTGTGTAATTTGGTCATGCAGATGACATTTGCAATATTTGTTTTGATATCCGAGAAATCCCCAAGGGTTAGTGGCACAAGGTTGGGAAGTTGGCGGATAATGTGCTGGTTCTTTACCCTTCTTCACTTAAAACCAGGCTTTTGTCTGCCGCAGGGTTCCAACCCATGATGTTGTCTAACCCACACATTACAAGCTGAGCTCTTACCACCACACATACTCCTTTGGAGCAAGATTTGCAATATTTTTCTTTTGCCAATATTAGTGGAAAAGTTTTGACATGAAATTTGGTGGGAAGGCCCAAATATTATTATTTTTTTCCATTTTTTTTTTTGTGTATGTAGTTTGCAAATAAATAGATTCTGTAGTAAAGGAATTGAGATATTCTGAAGATGGTGGTTAAGGACCAGAAGTAGCAATTCTTTAAGCCTAGAACAGAGAAGAGGATTTAGTAGAGAAAGGGTTTCTGTCATGTCTAAGATGCTCACATGTTGCATTTGTTCATGTTAACTCCTCTCCTGGATTGGCAGCATTTTAAAACTTGAATTGGAACATTTGAAGAAATTGCACTTCTCAATCTTAGAGACCTCTTCTCTTCTTTTCTTATTCTCTTTGTTGAAAGATTGCCTTCAGAAATTTCATTCACTTAAATTCTTCCACAATAGCTCCTTGTTTTTCTATATCTCTGTAAGAAGATAATATAAAAATAAAATAAAACTAATTCATTGTGCATTATCATACCTGCAATAGGAGTAGCTTCCAAAGCTTTGACATTTATTACAATCCAACTTAATGAGCTTCCTAGTATTCAAGTTTCATGGTTCCTTCTCCAGTTCCGTATTCTTTTCCACAGCATGAGATGATTCCTTCAGTTTTGCCAAGCCTTTGGCGAATTTAGGATCTGGGGCTTAGATGTTATCGCGCTTGAACTTATTCCTTCGATCTATGACAGTAGCTTCCTCTGAACAGCTTGTTTTGTCAAGGGTTGTTGTTAACTGTTGATTATAAGTAGGAAATGTCTTTGTCTGGAGTACTTTAAAGCTAAAACTACTGGTTCTAAGTAACAAAAAATCACAAAGATCATATTGTTATATCTTGGTTCGCACTTCTGATTGCACTCCTATTCCTTATGTTCTTTTAATAGTTTAAGTTTCTGCAGATTTTCTTCAGGCAAAACAGCTTTTGGCTAAAATGAACATATCCTGTATCTTGCAATCTTTTATGCTTTTCAAAATTTTGATGCAGAAGTGTGGCTATCTTCATTTCATTTTAAACTCTAATATTGAGAACAAGTTTCGTATCTCTCTGGGCACATGAGCTTGGACTAGATATATACTTCCAGCTCCAATCCCCCTCCCNATTCACAGCTAAACTAGCATCTAGATAAATTTCACCCTTAGACATTTTTTAATCTTCTAGATGAATTGGGAAATATGGGATAATCGATTGAACAACAGGCAATCTTGATTTTCTTACCTACCAATATTTCATTAGAAACACCTAGAGTTGCACCCAAGGGCCAAGGGTGTGGCCAAGTGGTCAATGAAGTGGGATGAGAACCATGAGGTCTCATGTTCCAATTCCAGTGGATTCCCGTTTGCATAAGCCTTGGTGGGGGAGTTACCTGGTATTTGTGCGAGTGGAAGGTAGCAAGTACCTGATCGAATAGTCGGGGTGCACACAAGCTAGCCCTCGTAACTACTGTGACACATTTTCCCTTTTTCTTATAACATATATTCAGCAGAATGGTTTATTTGTTTTGTTGTTAGCTTATTTTCAGTGAATTTTACTGGAGAGGCCTTATTTTTATGTACAATTGACCTCAATGTGGCATATCTGGCAACTGGTGTATACACTGGGAAATTGATTTTGATATTAATATATGTGACGGTTAGATTTCTTTTAACAGGCTGGTGTGGAGAAGTGAGAGATGTTATTTTCTCAGATAATGGAAGTGTAACAGTTGTTTATCGTGTCACTATACGAGGATCAGATGGAGAGGTATGATAATTCTTCCAAACAAGTGCTCCTCTTTTTATCCTTTTCCTCTTTTCCTTTTTTTCCAACTTTACCATCTCTGAATATGCTGCTATGCTTGAATATCACCAGCTAAGAGGCTTGATATGAATTGATTACAAGTCTTACAAATCATATAAAGGAAATAAGTGTGTAGCCAATACGGCCTTGCTTACTTCTGTTGCTCCTACCTGAATGTCCATTCTTTATCTTTCCTTTATCGCAATTCATTTTTATTGCCAATTGACAGAGTGGTATAGTATTTGGGCACAAAGATATGTAAAACT